AATGCCTCCTAACTCTTTTGTCTTTTCCACATAGGCTTTTTAGCAACACACACGTAGAAGACTTCAGGCAACCAACTACCTACTGCAGCCTGCTTCTTCCTCCAGGCAGTTCTGGGCTGCTATGTGGGGAGTGGACACCTTGCTGGAGCAGCAGGGTTTTCTTCCCACCTTTTCCCACTGCATAATCTGGTTTTGGAAACTGGAAGGAAACTAGCACCTGAGGATTGTAATATTAGTCGTGAGCGCCCCAGAGGCTATTTCTTACCATTGTTCATGTTTGTGTCTCTTTTCTTAACAAATACATCTAGGTGTTCTTTGACGTGAAGATTGGAGACAGAGATGTTGGCAGAATTACAATTGGGTTATTTGGAAAGGTTGTCCCAAAAACGGTGGAGAACTTCATCGTGCTGGCAACTGGAGAAGTAGGTTTGCAGTTTTCTTCCTTTGTGTGCTAAAGTTTGGAGTGGGGAATGAGTATTTAAACGCCGTTTTGGCTGTGAAATGTCCACTTCACCTCAGTGCAGTCAGTGCAAGAGTGCCGTTCCCGAGTCCGTGCTCTGCTGTGTGAGACACAGAAGTCCTTGCATCACAAGATGTCACTGGGGCTGGCTGTCAGCACCATGGCGTGTCCCTGCCCAGCAGATGTGCCATGCAGAGGCACTGTGGTCAGCACTGGTCATACAGACTTGTACCCTGGATGCAGTCACCTGCGTCTCACTGCTGTTTGTTTCTTGCCAGCATTTGGCTCAGGTGGTGGTATGTTCTCTGAAAGCTGACCACTTACCACGTGCACATTTCCATATGATCATACAGAACTGTGTTTTACATTCATTATTTCATTTTCTTAGAGAGGATATGGATACAAAGGAAGTAAATTTCATCGTGTGATCAAAGACTTCATGATTCAAGGAGGGGATTTTACAGCTGGAGATGGATCAGGAGGTAACATACCTTTCTTATGGCTTCTTTCCTTTCTTTGAGGGTTTACTGAAAAGATGGATGAAAAAGTATTTTCCTTTTTTCTTTCAACTCCCATAAACAAGAAAAAAAACATTTATTTTAGAAACAGTTAGTTCTTTTCCAGGCATCTTGGAAGATAAGATGCACAAATGCAGGTTACCAAATAAAAGTGTGCGTAGACCTTCCTTGTCCTCAGCTTCTGCAGATAGCGCTTTCTGTCTGTGACTTTTCCCCAGTCAGGAGCCTGGCTTTGCAATGGGCATGGCAAGCCCTTTGAGCAGCTGAGCAGCTCCTACAGCCATTTCCACCATTCCCCTGCTCTGCTTTGCAACAGCACTGCATTCCTGATTGCAAGTATACATGGACCAATTTCAGTCACCCAGCAGCAAACTAATCTGCAACAAAGCAAGGAAAGCACTCAGGGGGAAGCAGGTAGGGAAAGAGCAGTCTCACCTCCCTTGTCCTCAGCTCAGCCATTTCTGTGGAGCATTCCAAAAAGTGCTGCAGGAGAGAAATCCAAAGCAGGGACAGAGAAATTGAAATGAGTGTCTTGCACTCTCTTTTTTCTTCCACTAAATCTATAACTGCCTCCTGAACCTCCAGAAGACCACATCAGCCAGTTCAGGAGAGCAGTCTAGTGCAGCATCTCTTGCATCGCATGCATTCTGGCCTGATTTCTTCTCTTCCTTTACACGCGTGTTCATCAGGTGCTACGATTTGAACTGTCTGCGTGCAGTGTTAGTGACTTCCCCGCTGGGACAGAATGGAAAACACATTCCTTTTCCTTGCAGCAAACAGTGGGGAAGGCTAAAATACCACAGACACAGTTTTAGCACTAAAGGTAGGCAAGGTTTGTTTGCCTGCTACTACTGTTCGTTGGGATAGCTATGGTGGTGTGTTGGGGCAGCATCCCTACAGGCACTGTGCAAACAGGGAGCACAGCAGCATTCTCTTTTCAAAGTTACAGTATTTAACCATGACTATTCTTTCTCTTTTCAAGCACCAAAATTGTTATGTAATGTTTCTATAGAGACACATGGAGTCTGTGACACTAGCTTCCCTAGTCTTCATAAACATGTTTAAAGCAAAATACAAAAATATACTATGCAGAAAGTGTTACAGGAGTACCAAAGTTGCCACAAAACATGACTACCTTATTTTTAGTGGCCATAAAGATGCCATTTGAATTTGCTGGGATGAAGTATCACTGCTGCTCAGCGATGTATTTTAGTAGGATCTTTGAAGATACTGAGTTTGCTTGTTAAATTCAGAGGCTAAAGCATCACTAGCTTTAAATATTCTTTCCATGTATCTAGTGTTTTAGTTCACCTTATTCTTTTCTCTACATGCAAAATCTTTTCAGTTACTGAATCACAACAGTGATGTTGTTAGGCTTACTCAAATGATGAATCTTTTAAGTCTCGACTTTGTACTCGTTTCATTTTTTAACAAGGTTGTGGGTTGTTTGCTTTTTTAAGAAAAAAACAAACAAACATTTTTTATGTCACAGGAAGAAGCATTTATGGAGAAAGGTTTCCAGACGAGAATTTCAAGCTCAAACATTATGGAATTGGATGGGTTAGCATGGCTAATTCTGGCCCAGACAGCAATGGATCCCAGTTCTTTATCAGTGTGACAAAACCTTCCTGGTTAGATGGAAAACATGTAGTATTTGGCAAAGTCCTTGATGGAATGGTAAGCTGAAAGCAAATAATTCAGGGAAGTATTCTCCTGTATTATACTGGTTAGTGTAACTTAGAGCCATCTTGAACAACTGAGTGTTCACCTGATGTGCATTTGGTAGAAAACGGATGTGAAGAACTTGAAGCTAGGAGATTTGGAACTGAAATACCAAATGATGGCCCCTTGCTTCAGATCACTAGCCAACGAAGTCAACATTGACAACTTTGCAGACTGCAGAGTTCAGGTCCCCCTGCTAGTAATGCTGCCAGCCATGAAATAATTATATTTCTGCAAGCTGTAGGTAACTCTTTAGTTGTTAGGTCACGTGAGTGTGAGGTATACAAACAAATATTCAGAACTGTTTAAAAAGGAAACAAATGATAGTCAGTACCCTCCACGTGTACACAGCAGCAAAATTGATCAAGTGCATCACTGCAAGGGCCAAGCAGTATGCAAGTTCAGAAGTGTTATTTCCCATTGATTATACTTCTTTTAACTCCATGTAACTCATTACTCCATTTAATCTATATTTTGAAATGAGTGGGTAAACACGACCTTCTGCACCAGTTCTTTGAGGAGTTTGCAGACCTCATCACAGCACTTCCCCTCACATCCCATCCTGAGTATCCAATTCAATTCTTAGGAGCTCAGCAGCTGAAAAAAAATAATTGAAGAGAGATTAAAACTAAGTTTTAGTCTAGTTAGGTGAACTGGCAGATAACAAAAAATGAGTGCTCAGTATTTCCAACTGAATTTTGTCCTTTAGAAATAGCTACTTCGATCTCTTGCCTAATATATATAATAAAGGTAGAAGCGGTCACCAGGAGCACTTAACTGCTTGCTGTGTGCCAGACTTGAGCCGCTGGGGCTTTCTTTATCCAACTGATCTGTGCTTTATTTTTTACAGTCTGTGGTGCACTTGATAGAGCTTCAGCAGACGGATGAACATGACCGCCCTCTTCATGACTGCGTGATCGTGAACAGTGGCAAAATAGCTGTAAAGGAACCATTCGTAGTGGAAGTAGATGACTGGTGAGAACAGTGCTCAGTGTGGAAAGTACAGTGTAATCCTTCGAGGTCTAAGTTTTTTGACTGATCTCAATTGTCTATTGAGTTTTCTCCTTAAAACACATTAAGCTATATGCAGGTGATGCTCCTAAGTTGCCAGCTACGTAAAGATAGTGCTGTGTGTAACAGCTGGATGGAGCAGTCAGGCCTTAGAACTCAGGACAAGGCCTGCACATTCCTAGAGCTTACTGAAAATCTCTCATGAAAGACTGTAGAAGTACTTCCTTTTTTCAAGGCATGAAATAGTCATTTTGTATTCTTTGGAAATTTTCACAGTATTTGTTACTGCCTTTTAACTGAAAATGTTATTTTCTGTAGAAGTATCTGCTTCTTTTAAATACATGTCTCTGGGGAAAAAAAGTAAAATACAGACATGTTTTGAATAAAAAACTTTGATTTCAGATAATTCATGAAGAGTTTTGTTTTTTGTTTTTCTCTCCCTTTTTGCTTTCTTCCCACTTCATTTGAGTCTGCAAACCATGCGGGAGTGCTGCTTTTCAGATGAGGTTTCAAGATTTGAGCAGGGTGGCAGATTTCCTTAATGTGTGAGTTGAAGTTCTACTATCTTTCAAAAAAAAGCAGTGCATTCAGATGACAGTCCTGCAATCAGGAAGTAGCAGGTCTGTCTCACTAAATACGATTGTCAGTTAGAAACTGGACAGTCCTAGAGGTCTTTTCCAACCTTGGTGGTTCTCTGATTTTAGGAAAGCTTGAAGGTGGTGTCTAAATTTGCCTACTATTAGGCAATCAGACGACCATTTTACATCTCAGTTTGTGCTTTTTTTTTATTTTTTCCTAGCCTTTGCAGGTAAGAATCTGCAAAGAGTCTGGGAAATGAAGACTGGAAGGAAAAGCAACAGTTTCTCATACAGTCTCACCTAAATTGCTTTCCACTACTACCTGAAAGCTTTCCTGGAGGTGGATCCCCCAGGCAGGAAAGCAAGGACTCTCACATGGGCAAGTTGATTTTTTTAAGCAAATCCAAACTTTTCACTATTTCCAAGCAGCTTTAAGGCAGATTTTGTAGTCAGGCAATACGTGTGCCTCCTGATCAGTTCTGATAGTGCCTAGCTTTGCAGTTACTGATTCTGTGCCTTTGTCCAAGTTTAGTTTCCCTATTCCATGAGTGTAATACATTCAGATAGCAAGTGTGGTACTGTGAGTTTTAAACAGACAGGCAACTAACATGTTCTTGTGCATCACATGAAGATGTGATGACCTCTTTGATAACCTCTGAGAAATGTTTTATTTGAGCAAAAAGGCACAACAAAATACACTGAAGCAGTACGTCAACGTTCTAGTAATTTATTTTGTAATCTCCAGTAGCACACAATTTCCAGTTAAATCTGAATATATATACACACAAGTATATATATGAGTTTTGACATGTTACTACTTAATCAAACTTTAGTAAGCTAAAGTTCGTATGCTCTGTGACTTATAAAATGCTAAGATACAGAATACAGTCTGCAAAATAAAGAGTAAGAATACACACAGGTTATGTGTCATAATTGAGTGAAGATCCCCTGGTAGATAGCATCACTGTGACTGAAATCTGGACAATTTTCTAAAAGAGAGCTACGTATTTCAGAACATAAAAGCATGATTTCTCATGGCAACTGCACATACCCGCGTTGGCTCTTTTCCAACCAATAATTAAGAAGCAAATTGAAAATAACTTGAGAAAAATGCTCAGCAAATTCCTCAGTTTCTCATGCATTCACTTCAGTGCCAGCACTTTCAATCCATCCACTGCCAGCAATGGGCCTGTGTGCTGAGAAAAAGCCTGGTGCAAAAAGGTTTAGTGTAATTTAGGATAGAAACGGTAGAAAACATTAGTACAGCTTTTAATTCTTTTCAAAGGATAATGTAACTCAGTGTATGATGTTCAGCTTGTAGTGTTAAATAGTTACAAAGAGTCTATCAACAAGGTACAACTACCTTCTGTATGCTTGTTTCCAAATCTTTTTAAAAGCAGCAACAGTAGTGACACTGATTAAAAAAAAAAAGTAACACTTGAAGTTAAGCAGAGGTTGTGCCTCTTGATTTTGAGCACAAAAATCACATCACCATTTCCTTCTTACTAATCTGATTAAACATTACTTAGAGACTTGCTTCAGCTTCTTCTAGCCGTGAATCTCTTCTACCTTGGCAGTAAATGAGGATAAAATATTCCATGTAGGATGCCTTCTATAACCACATTTGGAAAGTTATCTGAAAAAAGATAGAAAACCTGGTTTTGTTATCTATGTCAGTAAGGACAGGTGTTCTTGTCAAATTTAACTGGTTAAGGCCTAGTCTAACCCGGGTTACTGCATCACCAAACTGCTTGCCCGCGCTGGGATGTGCTATTAGTAGTGCTGTTTCAGCACTAAAGCCACTTCAGCGCAGCGCTGGGCATTGCATGAATGCGCTGCCAGATTTGTAGCTTATTGATTTAAAGGGATGCTCTCATACTTAATGCTGCTGGGCTCCCGCTCTTTATCTGAATCTCTTCTCACAGGGAAGATGGATTACACTGGCAATTCAATTTCTAACAAAATCTCAATATACTTGAAGGAATTCCAAGAGTGCTACCGGGAATACTTCAAAGCTGTTTTTCCACTGTGGTTTGCAGCAAAAGATGTTCAGGCTGAGGAGAGCTGGGGATGCCTTTACCATGCAGATGGTTTTGTGAGGCAGGGAAATTTCAGAGTGACCGATCGACACAAGAAGTCATCCTATCATACATTAACTAAAAAAAGCCACTATGTGGGATGCTGGCACTTAAATTCTCATGTTACATAAATTCTCATTGTTACATATACACGAAGGAATTACCTGATGAAATGTAATAAAATACCCACGCAGAGGAACACCAGGAATTACGTTACTGAAGCAAACAGCCAACTCCCACCTTCTTGGCGATGAATTTGACTTAAATTACCAGGCATGAGGAGTAAGAATTTCTGATTTTACATTTTACAACCTCAGAATTGCTAGTACACTAGGAATGAGTCTACCCAAAGATCAGACTATTTCTGATGGATAACTTTCCACCCTAACCAGTTTTCTTCCTTTGGCTGTGAGTCTAAAGCACGCTCAGAGAAGGCAGATGCCACATTCACAAAGCTGCCCAGATAGCTGATAAATTAGATTCTGACCCTGGTCCTTTTACTTGTATCATTTTAGAGCTAAAGTGGTGAGCAAAAAATCAGACCTGGACTCAGTAAGAAAACAATAAAAAACAATAAATCCTCATTTGCTTAAACATTCCACCTCATCCCCTATTAACACTGATGATTTGAATGTATTACAGGCTCAACAAACAGAAGAGTCTTAGGATCCTGTCACAAACTGCAACTTCCATCATAAAGGACATGCATACAATGTTCTCTAACTTCTCCTGTAGCAATCCCCCAAGTCCTGTGAGCTGAGCTCAGCTACTCCAAATTACCCAGATAACACTTTGCTAATATCATTAATGTTATTAAAAACTCACTGCTAAGAGCAGTCTGATGTTTTCTTTCTAAATTGAGTTCCGTGGTTCCATCAAACTGTAGTGGTTCTGATGTAATATGTAGGATACCACAGAGGACATACAGGAAAATGAGTATTTATTAAAAAAATACATCTTTGCACCATCAGAACTGCTGTGAAGCTTTGTGGCTTTTTTAAAGCAAATTAATTTAAATTAAATCTATTACTACAGTGAAGCACAGTCCTGCAAGTATGTGATACCTGCATAGCTTAACTATCAGAAGAATCTTCAATCCATTGACAGTAAATCTGAGGTTTTGTTTTTCAGCCTCTGCAGTACCATTTTAGTCTTGCAGCATTTTAGGCTTTTCCTTAGCTTTTCTTCAACATAGTAAAAACAATTGGTATTTTTTTTTTCAGCCTTTACTCTCACAAAAAAAAAAGAGTGAACACCTCACACACACAAAACCAGAGGCGCTCATGCACTTCTGTGTTAGCTAAGCCATGAAAAGTAAGTCTGAAAACCAATGAAGTATGTAATAGTAAATCTCATTTTTGGGAAGTCGTCTAGCAACACAACAATGCCTGAAGTCATTACAATCATGACAACACTATAATAATTTTTTTTTTTTTAATAAAGACAAGTAATGTGCATTAGAGTCAAAAATCAGCTGTTTACTTCATTAAAATCCACAAATATGCAGTTTCCTATTTTTTTCAAAAGATGTTAACATGGGCCCTCCTGTACCCAGGAAGGATTAACTCCATTTCTGATCTAAACAACTGTCGTAACTGACCTTCTTCAAAGAGGGAATGCGATGAATAGTTGTTTGCTAACTCACTTTTCATCAGTTGGAGTAGCTCTGGCTGCTTTTTGCAAAGGAATCCATCACAGTGGAAACTGATCAGAGACAACGTTATAGAAAGCTCATTCTGCACTTTCTCCATGGTTTGAACTGACAAGAAAGAAATCTTAAAGGCAGTGGTTTTTTGTGTAAGTTGTTTTCTTTCTGGATAAGCTGAGTCAGCACAGAAGAGCCTCTGGATGTAGAGGTTGTTTTTTTTCCCCTCATTTTTTAATGCTAGAACTGGCATTCTACTTGGTGTTTTAATTCACTATACATTAAAATAGAGAGTAATTTGCAAGTGAATTCTATCTTTTAGAATAAAAAGAAAAAAAAAGAATGCCTTAGCCAAGGCCTTGAAAGTTCTTTGTGTCAGCTATCACTAACAAGGTCTATTTAGTATTTAAACATCATGCATAAGGAGAGGCATTTATCCTGATCCAAAGTAAAGCAAAACTGTATAATTACAAAATTCATTAGAAAATTACTAATGATTTCCAGAGAAGAAATTTCAGCCTGACTCAGTGTATACACTAGGGAAGAAAGATAAACATCATCACAGAATTGCAAATCCTTGAGCAGAGGTCTTGCAGCAAACCCTTACACGAGGGCTGGAAACATTTAAGCATTGTCTTTGTGTTTCAAGACAACTGCATAAAGTCCATTTTATCTCTCAGAAATAGTGTGCAACTGAATGACGTTCATAATTTACACTCCCTTCCAGATGGCCCCAAGTTTGCAATTAAGACAAGCCTTACACAGTAAGAGTGAGATAAGCTATGAGATAATATGACTCACTAAACTAATGTTTTAATGCAAGGTTTAGTAAAAGTAACAGTTCTCACAATAAGATGACAAATCTGGCGGAACACAGTATAAAAATGTTGTTTTTCTTAATCCCTGCACACATTTTATCAAGATTTTATCAAGAGAACAGAATATATGCTCTCTAAATTAATAATGCAGAGCACTTCTAAAAAAATGAAAGGAAAAAAGGTTTACAACAAGCTATTTCAAACACTCTTTTGAAGAACATATTAAGAGATGAAGGCTAACATAAATGCTCTGTGAACACATCCATTATACTTTTTTTTTTTTTTTTTGGCCCTCACAAGAGATCTAGAGGTTATAAATGATAAGAAATAGTAATAATCCAAATGGAAATACAAACATGCTCACAGCAGATGGACTGATGTTTAGGAAAAAAGCACTTATAAAGGATGGGACCTCTAAGTTCAAATCCTTCAGGCAAAGCAGCCCCAAAGGTCAACAACAAAAAACAGAGAAGCAATGTCCTCAGTCTTCTGATTTGAATTCTCAGTAGATTTGTCTGAGAAACAGCTAGGAGAAAAAATCCACCCTTTTACAAATCACCCACCCCACCCCGAGCTGTAATGGTTTCTCACTCAAGAGCTATTGCCTTATTGGCAGGCTATTAGGTTTCAGACCAGTGTTGTTTGACTCGGCTTGTATTAATAATAATGCGGTTGGCGCGGTGCAGGGCAGGTCATACAGCACTGTTAACAGATGACAAGTTTGATTACCATTGGCTTTAGGCAAGACATAGGGATCCCTCAGGAACAGCAGCACAGGCTGGTGGGACAGTTTGCTGCTGCAAAGATGAAGAACAGAGATGTCGGTACTGCAGAACAGTAAACAGAGCATTGTACAAACCAGCTTCGACAGACAGATCGCCAGGCAGCTTAGGGCTATGCTGCACCCTGCGTGCTGCTGCGGGCAGGTTCCATTCACAGCCTTCCCATGGAGACACACTCACAGCAGCCACCTTCAGCTCTGCTCCTTTAGAATGGTATTCTATGGGATTTTGTAGGGAACCTCCAAACACAAGCGTTAAGGCTCAAGTGACATCACAGATAGATGGAGCTAATGCAACTGACAAAACTAGCCATGACATGTAACAAATAAATCCTATTACAGTGGTAAACTACTCTTAATTTTGACAACTGTAAGGAAAATACAGCAAGTGCCCAACATTTCAAGTAGTTCATGAACCTGACCTCACAGGAGGAGTAAGAATAGAGCTCACCTTGATTCTTCAGACTCTGTTTCATCAAAAGAGCTGCAATTAAAGTGAAAGGAAACTTCCATTACAATAAAATTAATAAAATAACTCCATAATAAAAAATAAACCAACCCAAAGCCTTCAGGAACCATCAAAAGGAGCAATTTTCCTCTGGTCTGTAGCTGCACAACGCAGTGAGAGCACAAATGTAGGAGGCCGTATTATTTTACCACCGCTTGGAAATGTCAGTATCCACTCTCCTCCAATGGGTTCATAGCCACATCTACCTATAAAGTGACAGGGGTGCAATCCCACTTGGGGCACTGGCTGATATCATGAACCACAAGTGAATGCTACAAGCCTGCCAGCTTGTCCCTGCATTACTAATGCCTGATCATTTATTTATGGGCAATATGGATTTAGTATATATAGTTTTCTCCAGCTGTTGAGGGTAGTGTGGCTGTCAACATCACACTGACTGCACATGGAGCATATTCACTACTACATATCACCCTCAAAGGCACTCTGTGAACATGTTATAGTAGAATCATCCTTCCAGATCTTTAACATTAGCTGTGCCATAACTAAACAGTAATTTCAGTTTATTACTGCTCATCTTTAGAATAGCAAAGCAATTATTCTCTGGGAAAAATCATGACTTATGATGTAGACCTTAACTTATCTTAATGAAAATGCCCATATAGGGAGGTAGGGAATGGTTTAAGAATCTGCTGAAAGGATTTCCTGCTGAAAACCAGCAGCAGATTTATTCCCATGCAGAAATAACTAAGGACCATCCCTTCCTCTACATCAAGGGGGCCCCACCATAACCTGTATGCTTTCCAACCTGCCCTCTCCCCACTGCAGGCATACAGAATATTCTCTGAAGAGGAAAAGGGACAACTCCACAGTGCTGCTGGAAGTTCCAACCACGACAGGTTCAGAAATGCTTCTCCCTACAAACCCACAGATGATAACACAACTTCTGGTCACAGTGATTTTGGAATTTCTCTACACTCACCATGATCATAACACGAGTCTCTTTTCAACCCCAGGAACAGACCCTTACCAGAAGAGGGCAGTGGGGCTATTGGGGTCATTGTAGAAGTGCAAGACCTCTTTTCAAACCCAGAAAGGGTGAACACAGAAGTGATCACAGAACAAATTTCTACTTTGACCAAATGTTAGCTGTAAAACACACACAGACAAGTGCTTTCTATGCAGGAAATAGTTATGAATATCTTCTAAAATTCACCTGATACTTTAGGAACTATAAGAAAAGCCTACTTTAACTCTACTTTCCAAGAACACTACTTTAAACTTTGCTTCTGCCTTCGAAGAAGCTGGATTTATTTTACCACATTTTGAGGATATATAAACACATTTAAGTCAATCTAATGCCCATTTATTTTACAGCTTTAAGATTTGGCAGCGAGACCATTTTAAGTCAATGAAATTGCATCAGCACTGAGTGGATATGGGCCTTCCGGCCTCCATTTGTTTTTCAGTATATGAGAGCTTACCCACAGCTTTCTGCTTTTGGCAGGGTAGGTACATGTCGAACATTCAGGAAATCGAGAAATATTTTAGGAAGCTCTTCATTTTCTAAAATGACTGTCTGTAATAAATGAAAAAAAAAAAAAAAGGAACAAGCAGAAAAGAGTTTTTTTACATGTTAAATATTCAACTCTTCTGTTCAAGCTATCAAAACATTCCCATTAGTAACACCATTTGTTTTTATCTCTATTTCTACATTGGTGGAAAACATAAGTCTCAGCTTTTTAGAATTTTATTAATGCACATCTTAGGAAATGCTAATAGTGTCAGCTCTTGATCAGCATACAGTGTGCTGCCCCATCCATGCCGTGGCTCCTGAGGATGGAGCTCTGACCAGAGGCCTGCTGGCCAGACTGACACATTCTTCCCCAGCACCAACACGATGGCTGGGAGCACTGCAGCCTCCTTTGGTTTTCTGCAGGTAAGATGACTTACAATTTTAAATAAATCAATCAAAAGTACACTTAAAAACACATGGCAAATAAATGAAATGCTTACATGTACATTCATCATGTAAGAATAACTTTCAATGAAAACAACAGAGCTCTGTCAGTTTCGTAGAGGCAGGCTGAAAAACAGCCGCTGCTTCTCACAAGGCAAACAAAACAGTCCATACACATAAGCAGATGTTCGAGTACAGCTCTTCACATACAAATGAAAGCCAAAGTTATCTGGTCTAGAACAAACATACACACAGAAGAAACCTCTCTAGAATTATAAATAAATGGTTACATACAAGTGGCTGCACAAGCAAAGCTATTCCTGTTCATTATGTTCATGTTCACATTCTCCATCAGAAGAAACAAATCTAAAGAAGAAATACCAATAGTGGTAGGAGGGAATGTTACTTAGCCTACAAACAAATAACTTCTTCCCATGTTTGTATTCAATGCTGTACTATCACTAGGAGAGTGCAACAGCACGTAGAGGGTAACACGCTCACAAAGAAATGAGGCTGGAAAAGACTTGTAGAGGTCATCCACTCCAGCCTCACAGCACTTCGTGCTGAAGTTTTATAACATTTTGGTTATCTGTGTAAGGAAAACCTCGCTCATGTAAACATTACATACAGTGTGCAGAGATCTAAAGAGAAGCATTTGGAAACAAAGCTATTTGGTAAATGGTTCTTTTTTCATGTTTCATTTGCAGATATGAATTTAGAATCTACATTTCTTCCGCAGCTGACACCATCACTAACAAGTTAAATGAAGGCAGGAAAAACTGCTGTTTTCTGTTCTAGACTGTAAGAGATCTAACAACTTTTACAGAAGAAACAGAAAGATCTGAGTGGTTGGCAGGTTTTAAGCCTTTCAGTTCACCTCTATGTAAAGATGCTGCATTAAAAATGCCACTTCATTTGCATTCTGTAAAATCAGCACTCTGCTGCTGCAAAATTTATCTTGTTCTGCAGTTGGGTTATGCACAGAAGGAGGAGCGGAGGTGGATACATATTCAGAGGGTGTGTGAATTGCCTAACAATGTCCATGACATGGTCAAATAAAACCATCTAATTAATTATATTAAAATGGACAGCTAGAAAAAGTTGTTTAAAGATGCTTAAGGGCACACAACACTTGTGTGCAGCCTCATATCTGCACCTCCTGGAAGCTTTGTCCGAAAGAAAAGTTGCCTGCTGAGGCTGCTGCACAGAGCAGTGATTGCCAGGAAAGAAAAGGAGAATATGTTGTTGCATAAAAGGAAAGCACTCGGCAGCTGCTATGGACCTATTTGCTGCTGCTCCTGCTCACTCCGGTTGATGAATATTGCATTTTATTTCCTTCCATTTCTATTTCATGGTATGCGCCATGAACCCTGATAACCTGCCCTGACCAAATGTAGTTCACAAAAAAAAAAAAAAAAAAAAAAAGCTTTTCTTTTAGTGTCCTACTGAAAAACAGAAAAACAGATCAATAACTTTACTTTCCAATAAGCTCTTCATTAAACTTCAAGAAGCAGAACTTGGAGGGAAGCAAAGGCAGTTTTACACTGTACTGTATTCTGGATGCCACCTCACCTCTGCTGATAGGGAATTTTGCCATTTCCAGAGTTGTATGACTACACTGGGAAAAAAAGAAAGAAAAAAAAAAAAGAGGATTTTCCAATTAATTTAATGTGACATTGTTTTAAAAATAAGTACAAAATAAAGTGTAAAAGGATTATACTAAAAAGTGGGTAATAATATACTGATCTGACTGGCTTCAGTGCAAAAAAGTGCCAGCACATGATCTAGCTGTTTAATACATGATAGCAACTGACCTGCTGTACAGACAGACTTTCAGAACAAAACTTGGGAAGAACAGAAAAACAGCCGTACTGAATTAAGGACATCTTTCCAGCCTCATTTTCTCTCTCTGGTGATAGCCCAAAGTGTCCAGAGAAAAGTCTAAACGTTCTCAACTTTGCATTTAAGTTCCTCAAACATACTGTTAAATCAGAGGTAAGTGCTTTTGTAGTCGGATTAATATATTTCCAACATCCCACAATAGAACAGATTTTTGACTTCTGACTGAAAACTTTAATAGGATTTCACAGACTTGGTCATCTGTAAGGAAGAGCTGAGCAGGTGAAACCTCTGAATCACAGTCTGTAATTTGTGTAAGGTGCTCAAAAGTCACCCTCGTTCAACTGAATGTACGACATTCTAAACGCAACTACACCTTGCTTGTTCTGCAACCGGAAACTTAACGATGATAAAACTTCACAGTTAGTTTATCAGTAATGTGGTTTTCTAATACATCTGAATTCTATAAACATAACAGTAATGAATTTCAAATATGGGCCTCAGTATCTTAAGTAAACTAATTAAAGACAAAAAACAGAACACAGTAATTCTTCTCTAAACCCAGTTGAGCTATAACACCCATCACAAACAATCTCTGGCTAATTTGAGAAGTTACTCCAAACATACTTTTTTCGAACTCGTTGATCTCAGCTGAACCAAGAGCAGAAATGCTATATTTTCTTAGGAAATCATAGAGGGTATTTACCCGTTACTGTCATACTTTAATGAACTACTCCATCCTTCAGAAAAAAAAACCCAAAGCAACAACAAAAAACAAAAGCCCCCCCCTCCCATCACACGCACAAAGGAAAGTCTGATGTTTATATCAGCAGAAATGACTCTTTTTTTGGTTATTGAAAGGATGTAATTATTATTATGTAGCATAAATCACAAAAATCCCAATTTTTCTACCTTATCAGTTTCATAAAATCACATTCCCTAAGGACGCCATTGATCGGTTGCACATGTTCTCTCAGTGACATCCAAAATACTTAATTGTCGGTCATCTTTTCTCCTTCAGCAAGTAAAATATAGTCACAAAATTGCAAAGGGATTTGTTCTGCCTTAACCTTAGCTAGATGCCATCATGCAGTGGAAAACAGTGCTAAAATATCACAGGATAATGCTCTCCAACAGGGGAGACATATAAACAGCATAATGATTTCCCACGAGTTTCCTTTTTAGAAAATTGTCACTAAAGCCAGGGTAAGTGGTGACATATCTTCACAGAGGACACCGTGAAATCGAACACTGGCATTCTAGTTAGGTCCAAACCTACTCATCAGCCAATTATAACAATGACTGAACAGCCTGCTGAAAACCCGAGCAAGACCACTCTGCTAACCTTAGGAGATCGTCACTCAGAATGTATTGTTTTCACAGATTTTTTTTTTAATTATTTTTCTTTTTTAATGAAAAAGACTTAAAAATAATTTCTTACAGTTACCCACTGCTTCTTCTCAAGGTTGCTGGAGCAGCCATTACGGAGAGAAATGAGTGCGGGGCACGGAGTTTTAGGGTTTTTAAGAGTCCTAACAGACTTTTCCCTTCAATCGGGTTTAGTTTGAAATGCTGTGCTGTTAGGGTGAGAAAGTTCATGACAGTTTTTCCTCTCTTCACAGGGAAAGATGCTTCACACCACCTAATTCAGCGGTGCAGCTAAAAAGGGGGAGAAGAAAATCAATACATTCCAGCTACAGTAAGTAGGCTGGAGTGTCAGTCTCCACTGGGACCAAAACCCGCATCTTTTACAGCACTTTAGTCTACATTCTTCTATTAACCTGCTTTTCCTGAACTGCTTTGCACAGTCCCAAGAAATGATAAAAAGGTTACCAAAAGAACTTATTAACTAAAAAAACAAGTAGAGAGGAACCAGACTTCTAAGAGCAAATGTTCCCCTTTCTGAATAGCAGATAGAATAGTGCTTTGTATTACCCCACTATGAAGAACTGTGAAGAAGCTCACCCCTTTCTGTACTGAGAATGCAGTTGTATGCCATCGGAAAGGGGGAACTACATCTATCAGAACTGTTCCTAAATACATCCATCGCCTACACTGTCACATTAAGGAGTCACCATTTTTCAGCACCAAAGAAACATTCACTGGTGGGCAATCTCTCAATAAGGGAAGGTACCAATCATGTTTAAGGTCTGTACAGATACTGTATGCGCTACAACACAGAAGTGACACTCCACACAAAGTACCTGCTAGCCAGTGCTCGAAGACTACCTAACAAAAGGAATCCAGAAGGAGGGGTGTGCCATTTGTACAGCAGAGATTGAAAGGGAAGATAGCCTGGACTGTAGGTACTACAGGATACCCAGATCCGAAAGACAGTACCTGGAAGTTAAAGTCTCTGAACCTCAGGACTAGAGAATAGTAAAAAATTCCTACACCAGCTTTCCAATCACTTTTTTTTTTTTTTAATTCTTCTGATGAATTCAAAACTCAGATACATCTCTTGAACCACAAAACCATCAAGCCACCTGTCACAGCACCCTCACACTACGCAGGATAAATGAACTAGATAGCAGCGACAGGTTAAACTGGAACATCACTGAGGATACACGTGCAGAAAGTTTCTCAATAGCCTACAGGCTATTCGCATTTTCACTTTTGCCTTACCTGATCTCCCAAGCTGGATGTGGCTCTGGGCAGCCTGGTCTGGTGAATGGTGACCCTGCATATAGCAGGGGGTTGAAACTAGATTGTCATTATGGTCCTCTTCAACCTAGGCCATCCTATGATTCTATGATTCTAATTTTAACACACTGTAGTTG